GAGTCGTTTGAATGTGTATTTTATGAGCATAATAATATAGAGAACACCGGACAGTTCTAGCATTTAGATTTGTTAAACGATAATGCTCTCAAGTTTATACTAACAAGACGTTAACTATGTACGGTGTGTGTGTATATATTTTTAAGTGCGCCTGCAGAAATGCACTTTGTTGTAGAAAAGCTAAAATACTTAATTTTTTTTATCCATATAATATTGTACCCGTTGTACTTCCAATTCCCAAGAATATTATTATAGAGCTGCTAAAAAATAATGTAATATTATGTTGAATAATTAGACACTATGTATAATTATTAAGCTGTACCCGCCGGTAACTGTGTAGTTGTTCTCACGGGTTCTAAACGGAAACTTCCGTTTTTACCGGACATTTATCATAATAGCGAGTGGAACAATGAAAACGTAACAGCATGAATATCGTAATTCACACGTACGAATAATAAATAATAAATAATCAATGATGATAATCTTTGAAATGACCTTAAGAAATATACATCATGAGACTGATCATTTTTTTTCATTTACAATGCAAATCAATTGTTCTAAAATGATATAAAAATAAAGCGCCTCGCTAGATTTTTAATTTAAGTAATAATATACAATAAATTATATTTCCGGATGAATTTATAAAAACCACAACAACATAACAACTAACAAGTTCAGTTCCATTATTATAGACTCAAGTTTGATTTTTATTTAGTTACATAATAATAAAAACTGTCAAAATTGATCACAACACTGCCAGCCGAGATACGAAAAATTGTCTTATGTAGTTGTTTTTTTGTTTGTAACAAATTAACGGATTAAATAATGTTGCTAACAACAGTCGAACAATAATCTGTGAGAGAAAAAAACGAAAGTCTTACATGAAAAAATCTCAATGAGAAATCCCAAACTTTCGTTGCTGTTGTGAGAAAATGTAACGTAATCCGTGAGAAGTATAACTATAGGCTCATCAAAACACTAGCTTAGTCCATATAGCGTTTGACTTTTGTTAATTAGCGACAATAAAAAACGTTTAAATGTTAAATAATTTGCTTTCACGTATTCCGTAGGGACGTTTTTTTTTAACTAGGAAAAGTCCTTGATGAAAACCCTATGCGGAAGCATAAGAGATCACTTTGACATGTCGTATTGTGCGCATTGTGCGCATATTGTGCGATGCAAATAATAGCCATGTGTGTGTTTTGTTGCAGTCCATACAGAGGGAAAACGGGCACTTCATCCTTGGCATAAGAATTGCCCTTGTCGTCGGTATAGGTACAGTCTGTATAGGCACAGTGACGGCGACTGTCGTGTGGGCCACATTTGACATTAGTTTGACTCGTTTGCAATACTGACACTCCATTATTGCCGTGTCAATATTATTTTGCCATATCTGTTGAATATAGTCATGGCAGACACGTGCGCCCCAGACGACACCCGGAAATCTGTTGTCAAAACAATTTTTTACACCTAACCGAAACATGTATACAAATATACATCAGAACGCGATGATATAATAAAATAGTATCCACATCAGTAACGTAACTTGCTGTGCATTATAGAATGTCCATCCGAAAAGTTTTACACTAAACCCCAGAACAGTATTCGGTGATTCGATTTTAAAAGAACATTTCATGCACAGCCAATGTTACATTTACACTGTATTTTATTCTTAACCAATAAGTACAGATGGTATACTTGTGCTGACTTGGATGTAAACAAATGAATTATGTAAACTTGTACGGTTCAATTTATTATTATTTATTTAAAACAGATTATTTAAATGAAATGAATTTCAAATTAGAAAATCAATTGGAAAATGTAGAAATATTCAACATGACTGGTATTAATATTAGTAAAATAATAATAATAATATTACAAGCCAGTTTGGAAAAAATGTTTCGAAACATTACAGTGCACGACAGCTACTATAAGCAGTACCTGGCTATTTCTTTATGTATAAAGCCAGAGCGATTTAACTGTGAAATTTACTTTTTATACAGGCACAACATGACAAAAGGCAGTATATCCAAATGTTTTGAAATAATTATTATTGGAATGGCACCCGTGTAATGTACCCCATGTACTTCATAGTTTGTACTGTTAATTGTTCCTGTTGTGTATATTAATAATTTTAAATTTTCCAAAAAGTAATGTAAAAGAACTACGAGTATACCTGCATTGTCTGAATTTAACAATACATTTTAATCAAATAAATGTTTTAAACGGTAACCAATATAATATTTAAATTAAATAGCATACATGGTTGGCATTATATATAATAAATTACATGGTAAGTAGAGATTTTATACTAATATCCGTTTATTTGAGTGCTCAACTTTTAGATGAAATCACCCATATTTGTTCTGTGTATTATATAATATAATGACTTTTAAACATGCAAACCATACATGTAATTATTTATAATAAGTTAGTCGTTTGTAGTTTACCTACACAGGTGTAACGTTTCAAGTGCTACCGAAAGAACGTTTTATTCGAACTTGAATATGGTAATTTTGTTGTATTATGTAAGGTCAAACGTGAAAAACATATAATGCTATTATTATCATTGTGTTTCAAGTTTTTCTTCTTCGTAACAGTTGAGGAATTCAACTATGTTGTTTAAAAATTAAAATAATTATAAATCATCTAGGCTTTTTTTTTAATATAGAAAAATAAAAAATATAGCTCGTGCTTAATGTGTATTTGCTCATGTTATACATTTATATGTTAAGCTAAAGATGAGGTTTAATAAAAATGTTTTTAAACCCAAATTTGATTTACTTGAATCAATTGTGTTCTGAAACAAAGTGCGGCCGAATTATCAATTTTTTTGAATGACCATTTCTTCCCAAAACAAATACAATCTATAACTACACAAAAATCCCACCTATTACATGTAGGTATATAAAAAGTTCTCACGGTAGTCGACACATAATAGCTGGTGTGAGAATCGTTATTGTTATCAATTCTTAAAGTTATGTAAGTAAAATATACACATACTAAATGTGTGAGATAAAATAGAATAAAAAGGGAAACGGTTGGTGCAAATTTCCCAAACTTGATAGAAAACTATTCTACTTTCACTGGTGCTAATTAGACGTTGTAAGAAAATCAAAACGAATTTTTCAGAGCAAATAGGTATCTTATACATACAATGTGCTGCAGGTCTCCGGTGGCTCAAGGCACATGTCACTTTCACACAATAGGAACCAGTGTATTATATGAAGTGTATTTTTTCATTATTCTTCCGACTTTTTTAACTGCTATAATATTAGTTAATATAATTGTTGTTGTTGTTGTTATTGTTGTTTACGGTACCTGGCAATAACGGTAACAAGTTAATTACAAATTTTCTGGTAAAACTCGGCCAAGATGTGAATAGTGAATATTTATGGCTTTTCGACTGAAGGCAATTTAAATGTATACTCGGCTTCGTTAAAACAACATAATTAACAAAATCGTTTTAGAAGGCATTTCCATTAAAATCACATAAATCGTGTTAATATATTATTTGTGTAGCCTAAATTGATAGTGCAGATAAATTAATCATAACTCAACCAGTTATGTTGGCATAAAGTAATGAGTTTTTTCCCCACATGTAAACAAGTTACCTTATACTAAATGGTCTAATACCTATTACCTATTTCAGTATTAATATACATAATATAAACTATTCTATTTAAAATAATGGTATACATTACATTTAGTGCACTCCAAAAAAGAAATTTGACCATAATCCGATAAGATGGAATTTAAAATCAAAAACCCCAAATAAAGAATAAAAATACTATATACCAATTTGTTCAGTGTATATTTTGTTTGAAAGTAAGTGCCTTATTATTCGTAATCAATTTATTTGATAAACGAGTTTTTCGACTCCAAACTGGAAGAACTGCGATGAAAATCAAAGTATTTTCATTTTTCCCATTAGACACGGTTAGAACAGCAATTCCGTGCAATATTATATTATGCGAAAACGCAGTTATTATTGTACTTAATCTATATTATACGATCTGATAGAAAGTCGAGGTCTCACAATGATAACCTCGAAATTGACACATATATGGAAACTCACTTGGTGGTTTCCGGTTAATTCATAAAAAAAATATCCAGCGATACAACTGCCAGCACACAGAAACCATAAGAAAATATGTTTTTAAAAATGTAGTTATCATTGAAAGTTTGGTTTAGATCCTTCAGTTTTCTTCCATGCCAAATATTCAAATTGAATATATGTATATAAACAAATTAATAGATTTTTCTATTTGTAGATGGGATAACAGTTTGTTTTGATTTCTGCAAATCAGTGTTAATAACAGTTGTTATGTTGCAAATGCTCATTACTCTCTGATAAAAATAACAGTGGTATTAAACGGAATTATTATTAAAGTTATTTTTTTAAAAACAATTTGTAATAAGTGATTATTATTTTGATGCGTTAAGTAAACGCCATTTTATCTGGTTTTGCAATCCAGTTAGGAAATTATATTTTACTAAATATTTATGCAGTTAATTAGCAACATCATATATTCGAAATTTATTCGAAATTCACCTATCAAGTGGAAAAAATTCTAATAAATACAGTATTTTAAGTTTGCAGTTAATAAAAAACTACAGAAAAAAAAACGTTAATTTTTTTGAATGCAATAAATATATTGTTGGTTAATTAATATTATACGTTGCTAATTGTATAATTCGTTGATTTTACCGTTATAAATGTAAATTATATGATATTTTTAGATAGTACTAATTATTTGAAAAATGTAATCATATTGAATTTATTGCGCTTTAAAAAAAATTATACAACTATTTTCACCATAATCATGTACATTTAATTGTACTTAAATTATTTTTCATCTTGAAACTTTACAAGGAGTATTTATTTGATACCTATACATATTGTTTTAATTGTCCAATACAATACAATATAATGCACTAGTCAATAAATTTTTTGTTTTGTTTTAAACGTGGTCTTTAACAAATTAAAATGTACTTACTAAGTAATACACGATCGGAATTCGTCAGTATAATTTTGTTTTAAAGTTTGATCACGCATTCAAACAGGCCTTGTCAATCTGAAAAACAAGTCAATAAAACAAAATTATGATGAGGAATACAAAAAACTGGGTTTTTTTTTTTTAATAACTAGGTATTTTTTCAGTTTTTGCAGTTCAACAGCTTAAAAAACTGCACAAGCAATTGATATAATAATACAAGTTGATAAAACACTTTTTTTTAAATTATGAGTTGTTGCAGATTTCAACAGTAACACGAATTTTATCGACATTTTTATAAATTTTGTAATGATTGGTAAGCACGTGCTGTATACATTGGTAGAACAACATAAGTAAATAGAACGTGGTGCCATTATCATGAGTGGACATTACCACATCAGCAGCGGCGACGAGGCCCAGTAATGGTTCTTACGGCACCTCCACACATTATACTGAAATTTCCAGTGTTGTAAAACTAGACAAAACATGAAACGTCTCAGGTACACATTTTTTTGCCTATATATATATATATATATATATATATAACATGGTTTGTCTACACCAAAGTGTATACTGTCCGTGTAGTATTACTTGCGAGTAATAGTAATTGCGTGTTCATCAAAATGCTCGTGTCATTAACTTGTGATCTATCCTAATATTAGTATCTTTGGACTCTAAAACAAAACCAATTTTTCTCACTTTCTCTGCAGGTAGACGTGATGTACAAAATCGACCACGAGGAACCTCATTGACTGGCAGTGATGAGGAGTAGACATAACGTACTATGCAGGTTATCAAAATGATTATTATTACTATTATCTTTGTCTGTGAGTTTTGACCCCGGCCGTGGCCGCACCAACAAGTAGCTGAGGTTCGTACGCACATCTTATATACATTATACACACTCATATACACATACATACAAGTCACGATGGTCGGTAATAATGACAGTGCTGAATTTCCAACGTTATACAAGCTACTATTCGACTATAACTACTAATTTCGTTTCCAAACACTGCTAAAAATAAAATTCCGGCAATTTACAAAATATATTATCGATACAAATGTTTGCATATCGTTAATCATTATTTTTTTTTATCCACATAAAAGTTTAAACAGCCAAATAAATTAAAATCTGCATGTAACTTTATCATACTCGTTACTAAGCTATAAATAATAAACAAAAGATACACAATATACTTAAGCCACACTATTTTTTCTCAATATAGCTTCTGCGATAATACTAGGAAATCTAAAAATGCAAACAATACATTGCATTTGCATTTTTAGATAATTCGATTATGCTAAAATTCATCATTATTGGCAGTTATAATACTTAACGGTTTTAAAAACATAATTTATTGCAACACGGTATAGATAATGTTGGGTTTACCTCAATCGTCCACGTATCTTTATTTTAAATTTGCTGAGGTCTTAATCAAGAGTTCTCCACAATCTAAAACAAAAAAAATATATCATAAATAACACCCCAAAAACAAAAATGTGTTTAAAAGGTAGTCGAAGTCGTAAAGACTTCTTATTATAATCGCACAGTGGTCGTAAAAAAAAAAATAATAATAACAGACTGGTTAGTGGTTAGGTTTAAGACCGAACATGAAATTCATTAGGAAATATAAAGAAAGCCGCGTTTAACGACTGTTACAAAGTGATGTTTGCGAATAAACTATCGATGTGGAAAAAATATTAAACGCAACAATAACAATAATAATAATAATACACTATATTATCGTAACAGTAGGAATCGTTTGAACGGACGATTACGATGAGTTATGACTGATTTTTATTTTTATAGTTCCCGTTTTGGACGATGGTACGAACAGCACGTGAGGAATGCTCCTTCGGGTACAGAGCATTGTCTCCTTAAACACATTTTGCAAATCACGGCCCAAGTATAAATACTTGGGCCATGTAATAATTCGTATAAAATTTAAATCTTAAACTGAATGTTTCATTTCAACCGCCGACGTGACGACGATTACAACAAATCTGACTAGTCTAGAAACAACAAAGGATATGATACACTATTTACACAGCAACGCATATAGCTATTTTGTTTAGTCTAGTCGGTTTTCTTTTTACTCGAGTACAAGTACAATCGAAAACAGGATACGATTTACATATTTATACGATATAATTAGAAGATATGCTAATATACATAAATTAACTATCAGTTGTCACACTCGGTTTAATGACGTCATAAACTTATTATTATGCCTTATGGTCTATGTGTTTTTTTTTTTTTTTTGTTGACAATGTCATAACTCAGACAACCCATATAAATCATACCCGCATACAAATCAAACGACACAGAGTATTCGCCTTCGACGCCAATAAACTAGAAAACAATAAGATAATAATAATACCTCTGATTCGGTCGGGCATGGACTGCGATTAAAATTGAATAATTACCAGCAACGCTCACGCCCGATTCTATGTGCGTTTTTTTGCACTTAACGCCCATGCCGCTGCTAGTCACGATACTTGTCGTGTATTGGTAATACATAATAACAGAGTAGTGTAGTTATAGTTTTAATACATACTCTAATACACTATGGACAACGCTATCGGTTATTGCATGCCAAATCACCTGACGTGTGTGCCAGTGGATTTTCTAAATGCCTCGTACTTGTATTATATCCTATGCGGATAGTTGCATAAAATCAAAAAAGTGAAGTAAAACATTTTCGTTGGGCTTATATTTTGTACATTTATTGTAAAAACGCCTCAAGTTCACGACCACGTTACTTAATCACTATAACTATGATATAGAAATGGAATTTTCACTGAACATATGTAATTTAATTGTTCTTTTTCATAATATCCTTAAACAATTTTTTTTTCAACATTTTAAGTAGCTAAAAATGTATAAACAAATTCAAAGTTTTATAAATTTCATTAAATTCTCATGCTGACTAATGGTCATAATTTCGATTTTTTTGGACAATTTTAATTTTTTTTTTTTGTATAAGTAACATTTGGTAAAGTTTGGTATTTTACTAAAAAGTGCAATATTTAAGAGCCTAAAACTTTTTAAAGATTGAAGTAAGAGTTCTGAAATTTGTACAGCACTTAAGAGTTAATCTTCTAATCTTAAAACTTATCAATATCCAGTTTTGTAAATTTTAATAATTTACTTACTAGCCAATTTTAACGCAAAACATGATTATAACTGTAAATATATATAGAAATAAAATGTAAAGAAATAGAAATACGCCTTTAAAAAAAATTTTTTTTTTCTAAGGTGTAACGGCCTTTAAGACCAGCCCTCCAAGTATATACTCCTCCATCTATTCCTATCCTCCGCTGCTTCCCTCCATTGCAGACCAGCTTCTATCCTTCCTGCCTCAAAAAAATGTTATATTAATTTATTTATATTACATGTCTTGTTTTTGTTTCTAGTTAATATATAGTATTTTTTATATAATATAAGAGCGTACAAATACTAAGAGTGCATTGTCATGATTAAAAAAATATTGTAATGGTCTTTATAATGACAATACTTGAAGGTTTCACGCTTAAAAAACTGTCATTGCATACTAATAATTAAATGCTGATTTATAATTTCAGTGCTTTAAGAAGAGAATATAGAAAAAATATTAAATGAACACTTTAAACAAAAAAAAATAATTATAATTTTCTTTGTTCATGGGTAGTGTTTTTATTTTTTATACATTGTCATTAGTGTGTTATAACTTATATCTTATAATATACACTGTGATTAATTGTATAACAGTTTTAAATTTTAATTTTTAGTTCCAACATATAAATATATCTATATAAATTATATTTAATTCGAAATGATTAATAATACAGAGTATTTACATAAAGCGACAACCTGTTGAAAATGTCTCTAATCAGAATTCGCAATCGGTCTTATTTCAATAATTCCATGTACCTACCTATGCATCATGTTCTCAATCAATACCCTTTGCCTTATCTGATGTACTTTTATAATGGCATTTAAATCTAACAACTGGTTAAACTACCGCCGTTCGACAATAAGAAAGTCAACACGTCGAACAGTCATGACAATTAATCAAATTAAGAGATTGCTGAACGGTCAGGGTCGGTCATAAACTAGTTCAAACAAATGTGCCGTAACCGCATACTTTAAAACGCATTCGGTCGTATGTAAGTACCTGTAATCATTTTTTTAGATCAGATGTGTCAGAAAGATTCGAATCTACACACGTCTTACATATAAACAGCGTACATTGTTAACATGGCTTAAACTGAAACAATACATTTGTTGACAACATATATATATATATTTTTTTTTTTTTTGGGGGGGGGGGCAATTATATTTTATTTAAAACTTCGGTTTAGAATCTATGTCAAAACACTATCCTTTTTTTTTGTTTATCTATAAAGTTTGCAGATTATATAGAGCATGTTTCGTTTCATTGTTTTTATTTACTTATTTAATTTTTACATTTAAAAAAAATCTATTTATATGACACAGATTAAGCGGTTCATTTCGTATAGGTATGTCAATTATTATTTTTTTAATGGACCAATTACACCATGAAAAGGGTGATGCCAGTTTGTTACAATATATTTTTAATTGCCTCGCGTTATTCGGAAACGAAGGAAAGGAATGAAAACGATTCTCTACACCGCGGACGTGTGAACTAAATTTGTGCATTATTTAATGTTTTTTTTTCCCCTTAAAACAACAGACGGCGTTCGCGGTCGGACGATCGCGAGACTAATAATGAAAATAGAAAATAGATGACTCAATTGATACAGAACGATTAAGAAGACGGCAAACACATCCGTACACATAACTCATTTCTTTCTTGAATCGGTGTTATCTCACGTAATGCTGTAGGGCAACTAGACGAGTACGGGTCCGGTCTTCCTTGACCTTCCACCGCAGACACGTGCTTTGGTGTCTGGACACTATAGTGTTCGGCAAATCCAAATACAGTTAATATTTTTTCAAACATAATGAGAAATGCCTTAATTAGTCAGACGGCCAAAGAGAACTTCTATGATTATACATTGGCTACTGGTTGTCCCACGTAGTAGCGCAACACAATGTATAATATAATATAGCTATTAAGATGCTTAAGATAACAGTGTCGACGACCCGCTGTCGCGTGAAAACGTATTCGTGCCAACATAAGACCGTACCTTTCCTCCCGAGTGCTTTAATGGACTTAATTATTCGTAGAGATACATTTCAGTGGCATACCTATATTTTAATCTCTTAGGTCGTTCCAAAGAAGGACTAGATTTGAAGAACTACAATCCGTTAGCTTACAATCGACAAGAGTGGAACAATTTTTTTAATTAATTCATTTTCAGTCGACACTAAATACCTCCTATGGTATTATACAATGTAAGTTTTCGGGTTTCCCCCTCTAATCGCATACCTGCTATAAGCTTTGCAGTGTTCGTTAAGGACTTGACCTAACCCAACCTCTAACACGGGCTATACATGTATTCTTTAACTTCCATGTCACAATATTAGCTATTTTAGATTTAGTTAAAAAAAAAACTGTCGAAATAATATATTATGGTGATCCTGAAAGGACAGTACGTTTGATGATAGTAGATGATCAGTTACACAGCGCGCCCTACTGTTGTGTTATGTGTACAGGACTATAACTTTACGGTGCGGCTTCTTGGACGCACTAGGTCTGGAGATCAAATGCAATGGAATAGGTAATACGGCATTCGAAAATCAGGTTTGAAACAATGTTAAAGAGTTGGCATAGCGGTCGCGGCGATTTGTCGTGCGGCAGGAGAAAAATACGAAAGGCAAACCGAGACAAGTAAATAAATATAAACGAGCCGAACCGATCCTCCGCACAATACACAAAGGTCAACGTATTTTATATATGTAAAACAACGTACGGACAAGTCTACATGGGTTTAAAAAAGATTGCCGTCGTTGGTCGGTGGAAAAAAACACACACACACACACAAGACAATAGCGCAGGTACAGCTGCAAAATCCCAACGTGCCGAGCACACGGGACACAACGTGTTCTAGTCGAGGCCAAGACGAGTGTCTTAAGTCATTAACGTGTATCGTAGAGCACTCGTTGGAATTCTAATGCCACACGATCGATCGATCGATCGATCGGCGACTTCGGATCGATCGATCGTGATGAATTCATTCATGAATCCCACCAACGTGGGGCACCGGCCGCAACTGTACCTACTCTCGGTTTCGCTAAAATCGTTTCAGACCAAGTAAACCCGCGTTCCTTAAACCCGGTAGGTATCCGTCCGCTGTTGGACTGCGCGATGGGCGAAAGAAATAATACTACAATGGCGCCTATACAAGACAACGCGGGAGATGGTTTAATGAACTAGAACTGACGTTTATCAGACCGTGGAAACCCAGTTTAGCCCAGGTGCGTCCGATTAGATTAGACACAACGCCAAGTCGGCATTATAATCCTGACATAAAAATGTCGTACAG